TTGTTTGGCGGGTCCGGGCTGGGGATTCGAACCCGCCACCTTAGGTGTACGTGGCTGGCGCCTTAGCCGGTTGAGCTATAGGCGCTGAGCCAGGAAAGAGTTTTTATACAGTGAAGTCATTTGATTCTTTCAACTTTCAAGTTATATGCTTTCATTATATGTAATGAAAACAAAGGATTGAAAAGCACTGAATCACAAAAGTTCTGTTACCCATGCATTCATTGGAGGTGAATTCAAGGTCTCAGAGTCTGGGAAAGGTCCAAGAGTTGTCAGATGCCTGATACTGTAGTTATTCTTTCACTTAGTTAGTACCATATTCATCCAATTTACTGAAAGGAGGTTAAAAACTGAGATTTTAAAAAAATCTTTGCCTAAACCTCTGATGTCTTTTGGTAAAATGCTCTTATTAAAAGGTAGGTTTTGGTGGGGTTTTTTTTTCCTCCTGAAACAGTCTTGCTCTTTTGCTCAGGCTGTAGTGCATTAGTATCATCAAAGCTCACAGCAACCTTAAACTCCTGGGCTCAATGGGTCTTTCTCCCCTCAGCCTTCCAGTAACCTGGAGCTACAGGCGCACATCTCCATGCCAGGCTAATTTTTTAATTTTTTAAGATAGGGTCTCACTCTTGCTCAGACAGGTCTCAAATTCCTGACCTCAGGCAGTCCTCCTGTTTCAGCCTCCCAAAGTGATAGGAATATAGGCAAAAGGCACCTTGCCTGGCCCAAATGTACTTTTGTCAATAAATAAATAAACCCTTGCAGTTGTAGATTTTAGTGCAGTTAATATTTATAAAGAATTCTTAGCATACAATTTAATTGGCAAAGGCTCAGCACCTATAGCTTAGCGGCTAAGGGCACAAGCCACGTACATTGGAGCTGCCAGTTCAAATCCAGCTTGGGCCTACCAAACAACGACAACTACAGCCAAAAACTAGCTGGGCATTGTGGCTGGCGCTTTAGTCCTAGCTACTTGGAAGGCTGAGCCAAGAGAATCACTTAAGCCCAAGAGTTTGAGGTTGCTGTGAGCTGTGACCCCCACAGCACTCTACCCAGGGCAACAGAGTGAGACTCCCTCTAAAAGGAAAAAAAAAAGAAAAAGAAGAAGTTCGTATCCAGCCTAGGCCTGCCAAACAATGACAACTACAACCAAAAAATAGCCGGGCATAGTGGTGGGCACCTGTGGTCCCAACTGCTTGGGAGGCTGAAGCAAGAGAATCATTTAAGCCCAAGAGTTTGAGGTTGCTATGAACTGTGACACCACGGAACACTACCTAGGACAACAGCTTGAGACTCGTCTCAAAAAAAAAAAAAAAAAAATTTAATTGGCAAAAGCAGTTTATTATTCAAACCCATCAACCAAATCATTCTTCTTAACTTTACTGTTTTACAATTCAAGTAAATGTATTAATTTACACTTTAAAGAAAATGATACAAAGCACTGAGAAATAAATTTGGGGATATAACTTGTAAGTTTGATTTCTAAAAGCCATGATGTCAAAATTAAAATTAAGCGTAAGTAATATAATTTATCTGTTTTAATAATACAGGTTGGCTCGGCGCCTGTGGCTCAAGTGGCTAAGGCACCAGCCACATACACCTAAGGTGGTGGGTTCGAATCCCCAGCC